ACAGACGCTACTYAAGAAGCAGCACAGATTATCCAAGCTATGTAACCCATCACGAGAGACACCAATCCAGCCCCTTTTAGGATCTCTATGCCGCCGCGTCTTGCCTTTCTACTGTCGCTGTCACCAACGATGAGAATGCTCTGGACCCTCTAGGAKCCAGACTTGAATCTGTGCCTCATTTCACTACTGTCAGTCACTGACCCAACTGTATTGGCAGGACTCAGAATCCCATGGGGCACGTTTTCCTTTAACCTCCTCTCCCCAGGCATAGAGAGCCACAGGGCACAGAAAAGAATTGACTGGAAAACTATCCTATGTCCTTCCCATAACAGAAATAAAGTACTTCAAGAAATCCTTCTCTATAAAGCAYTAGGAGTGCACTGCTCTGAGCTCTACCTGCTGAGACAAAAATGGAGATGCATCCAGTGATTTCGTGGCAGGTATGTACTGCTGGTGGCCGCAGAAGAGCAGCAGAGCAACTTTTAACCACAGAGCTGGAGAGAAGTCCAGCAAAATACAGGTCTCATTCAAAAATATTGGCCAAAACTAATGTTGGAAGTTACATGCGTACTCGTCTAACTTTGCTCCTTGCAGCCTCCACTGAGTATCATATCCCTGGATTCCTCTTCTAAATGACTGCAGTAGTCTCAGGTGCTAAAAATGTTTGCCACATCTTGCACACACTTACTCTGAAGATGCGGCAGCTGTTTTACACCAGGCATGTTTTTGTTTGCCAAGACATGAAGTGCTAGATATGAAGAGAAACGTGATTAATAATTGCTAAAGTTTTGCTGGAGTCAGGTTTGGAAGGTGGATCAAGYCCTGTGAGGGGCCAAGGACAACGGCAAAGGCTCGGTGCAAAGTCCTGCTCCTCCGGCCCTGCTCCCTGCTCCATCCGCTGCTTCCACGCACACGCAGGGCTAATCACCCTTCCTTCCTCCCTCCTCAATCCCAGAACAAGCCGCAGCCCACGAGCAAAACCACTAAAGAGCACACATGATGCTGTCCTCTGGGAGAAGAGGGAATGAACTGCATGTGGTGTCGGTCATTGGTAAGGTTTAGTGCACCACGGGAAGAACATATGCTCATGCTATGGGTGAGCTTTGGCAAAAGGATGCGATACGGCAAAGCCTGCTGAGAACAGACAGGTTTTACTCTAACTGTGAGAAAGCACAACACAAAATATCCTCAGTGGTGAGTAACAACTTCACCGAGAGAGATTTTGGTTTTCAAGGTATTAGCCCGCTTCACTCACAAGCCACCTGCTCAGAAAGTTATTTGTACTATGTATAAAGCAGATTTAGTGCTAATATTACATATATAATGTCCATCTGCTTACCAACATCTTATATAGGCTATAGAAAGCTTGGGAAACTCAAATGCAAAATATTGAATCAACAGTTTTTCGAAGATGATTTAGATGATCGTTTCTTATTAGAACTAACCAAATCTAAAGCTCCAGAACTCCCAGAAGCTTTAGAAAGCTCAGTCTAAATCTTTCCCAAAATAAACAGCTTGAGTCCGACCTGGACCGAGGAAGTCAGAAAGCTGCAGTTTGCTGCTGTATCTGAATGGCAGTTGTTGTTGCAAAGCGGCTGAACCCGGTACAGGGGGCAGTGGGAGTGCTCAAACCCCCAAAACACACCCCAGCAAAGACAAGGAGAACGCACACCACCCCGTCCCAACTGCTGCTCCTCTTGTGCTGTACGTCTTAGGAGAAAATTAGGTGCTGAGGCTGGTGAAACACTCCACACGTCACTCGAAGGGCGATTCTTGCACCATGGTCCATATGCAGCACAATGTTTTTCTTCTGCTAGGGCTCTGGGAATGTTTTTGACACCGCAATTGCTTGCAGGGGGAGGACAGGAGCACAATTAAGAGTAAAAAGCATTGTGCTGCTTGTCAAATAACATGCTTTCGTATGGCTCCAGGTTTATGTACAACTACCAAGCTTCACACAAATGTAGCACTGCTGTGAGCAGCACAGTGGAGAGTTTGACTTCATGGGCTAGGACATATATTGTTGGTGGCTCTGTTACKGCATTTTACTGTCATTTTTCTTGGTATGGGAACACTGTTTTTCTTGGTGTCTAAGATCTGCTATGGAAAAAGTAGAAGTGATGGAAATAAACCTTTCAGTGATATATTTTCTGACAGAATTAAAGCACAGGAGATTTTAAAGCATCATAAAGTATTATAAACATCTTTCAAAATTTGTAGTATTAAGATCTTGCCTTCATTTTAGGAGCTACATTAAAAGATAAAAATATAGCCAAGTAGCTATTTTCCATCTCCTAATCTAGCCTTACTTGCCCTTATTCGGAAGGGATTCTTTATTTCATAAATAAAACCCACAATACTTGCGAATTACATTACACCTARCATACTGGTAAAAGCACATGTCTACTTACACAAACTCCCACACAGCTTCACTTCTGTGGTGGGGAGGGACAAAGGGGATTACATCAGATGGACAAAAAAAGATCGATTCCCTTTCATAACTCAAAAACTGCTCAAAATTTCGCAACTCTAACCCAGATTTACCATTTTGTCCTAGTCTACCATAAAACCAGTTTTAGCAGCAGACTCAAAGTACAAGGGAGCAGAGTGTCTCCCTGCAGCAGTGAACGGACAGAGCCAGTGCCTGCATCTCGGTCACCRCTCGGACCCCTCGGTACATCAGGGTTTTCTCCTCTGTTCTGCTGCTCTCACGGGAGCACCGCAGGCAGCTGCAGGCGCGTGGGGCGATGCACATGTCTGTGTGCTGTGGGCATGGCAAAGGACACCCAAAATAAGCACAACAGGGAGGGAGAAAGAAGCTGTTTAATGTGGAAGCTTATCTAGATATCTTAATCTACCAGCCTAATTAACTGCAGGAGGTAACCTAATTGAGAGGAAAAAAAAATCAAACAAAACTGTCATTTAAAATCCTTTCATCATTTGAAAGACTAAGGGATGGAAGGAGAAGCTCTTCCTCCAGTTTATGAATGATATTATAAATGCTCACAAGTGCCTTTATTTTACACTGTTTAAAACTCCAACAATATTAAAATATTGTAAAGGATGCTTTCTAGGTAAGTTTTATATAAAAATGGTTAAGGATGTGCTAACTGCTTCTTGGAATTAACCTTAGGACTTCCAAATTTCCATTCAGATGCACAGGACCAACTTTTGACCATTTTATCCACGCAAAGGTCATCATGCACTGCATTTGATATCAAGCAGAAATAAACACAAACACGTTTACTTTGACAGCAGCATGTTTCTATACAAACTTGCCTTGTCAAAATACATTTGCAAACAGTCACTGCAGAAAAAGCTCTGCTTTGGATTTGCCACATCGCATGCAGTGAATTCCATCAAGTGAAATACTTCTCTAACCACTTCCTAGTGTCTTTTATTTCCATAGGTCCAGCAAGACTCCAAAGGCGGAAGAGGGAACAAAAACACAGCAAGAAAGGGAAATGTGGTAGAGCCACACAGGCGGGTTGGGACCCCTGACCCTTCCCTAGCCCTTTGGGCAGGGTGACAGGTTAACCCATGGTATATGTGAGGCAGATTTTACTGTATTCCCTGCGGATTTTGTCAACAATAGGTCGTTTTCAGTRTCAGCAATAACAACCTGATATCTTCCTGCTGCTAGATATCAACACATGTGGATTTGGACAGCTACGCTTTCCACCTGGGGTGAGACCTTCACCCCCAAAACTCAATCCAAAAATCTAACAACAGCAGTGCAAACTTTTCATTGAGCTACACTCATTATGATACTGTGAACTGAAGCATGTCTGTCAAGGTTCTTTTTTTTTGAAGCAGGTTATAGTATTTTCCAACCAACAACTGAATTCATGGAAGTTATAATCCCTCTACTCCCCCCAAAAAGACCCACCCCAGAAGCTGACAGACTTCCATCTGTTTCACTGATTGCTCCAATCACTGCATTTTCCTCCCTTAATGTCTTGCGCAGACACACTCTCTCAAATACATAACTGCAGAATCAATTCATTTGGGAAGTATATAAAAATTTCAGTTCCACAAACGGCAAAACACGATGAAAAATATGAACTGCTAAAGCTATTATGATGCTTAAAGCCCCAGATTTTAAAGTTATCTGTAGAAATCAAAGGAAAGGAAAGGAAAGGAAAGGAAAGGAAAG